GTTTTTTTAAAAAATAACTAGTGGTAAGTGGTAAAATAACAAGTAATGTTATTTGAAAAAATAATTTATTTTTTCAAATAACATTAGTTTACTTATAACTTATATTAATAATTTATTGTTTATATTAATAATTTATTAATTTATCTGTTATTAATTTATATGTCTTCAAAAATTTATTGTGCTGTTCTGTTTTTTTATAACATATTCACAAAGTTAATTTGCTCCTTTAATAAGGACAGAGTTAACAGTTTTCAAACAAACTGAAACTTTGAGGACCTTTGAGGACCAAATAACTTTTAAAATAAGCCAATTAGCAATTCAACCTTTGCTATAATATCTTAGGGCATATGATAAAAATGTTTCACACATTGTCATGATAATAAAAAAAGCAATTATAAATACTCTGATTATAAAAAAACAGCTTACTTTTGCTTCAGCAGCAAGAAAAACCATTTTAACTTGTTTATTCGTATTAATGGTGTTTGACTCTAAAAAAAAGTTTCCAATGTAAATTTATGCTAATTTAAAAAAATTCAATCAATTCAAATATCATTTTTTAAAAAAAGAATCAAAAAATAAAAAATATTAACTTTTTTTCTGAATTGTTTTTCAAATATTTATTATTAGAACAACAAAAAAAAAGAGATTCAAGCTTTGAAAGTTGGCAAAAAAGTCGACACTTTCCTTTACAACCTCTTTTTCAATAGTCTATGCTGTGAGATGTACTGTATCTATTATCAAAACATTAATTTATTTAAAAAAACAGCTTTTGTTTTTTCAAATACAACAGCATCAAGTGTTTAAATGTTGTCAAGGAACATAATGTTTTTGTGGATTTGAGCCAAAAAGTAGTTTTACATGCAGATTTTAGTTAATAGCAGAAAAGAATGGATGGTTAAAAATAAGATGAAAAATTAGAAGTTTAAAGAGTTGCAGTGAGCCAGACGCTTTATTTTTTTATTTAACCTTCTTTTATTTTATAGTAAAAACATAGATTTTAGATTCTGCATCATTAAGTTTTACATTTTCAGGTTTTAATTCCTCAACTTTATAAAAATGTTTAAGACTATTAAATGCATTTGCATCAAATGTATTCATCTATATATATCTAAATCTATATTTTAAAATGATAAGCCTTTATAGCTGATTAAATTAATCAGCTATAAAGGCTTATTAACACAGATGACACTAAGATTTATTTCATCTGTGTTGATAAGCCTTACAAAAGTTTTGCACCCATTTGATGCTAAGAGGAAGTCTTTAGCATTATTTTAGCAGATTTTATGCTGTTCCAAAAAAATCGCTTCAATGATCCTCCTTCATCATCAACTGCTCTTTTACTGTGAGAGGTAGCAAAAAAATTTCACTTTGTAGATTGAAAATGATATTTCACAGAGCAATGTTGAATGAAGTTGGTCGTGTAATGATTTTTGAATTGAGTGCAAGGACCAACACTCCATAATTTTATATAATCAATAGAGGTATAAATATTTCCTTAAGTAAGTAGTAGTGGAGCGCTTTGATTTTTATCTTTCATTATCATCAGATATTACTACAACTGATTTTGGCTCTAATTGGTAACGATAGATAACTGTAAACAAAGTAAGAGTAGACTGGGATCTGGGACTGCAAACAAAGTAATAATAGACTGGGATCAATAAGCAACTTGAACAGCATCTTGATAACCACATGTATAGTTTTGTGAATAATCAAAATGTATCAAAATTTGGTCTGGTTCGAGATTTCCCTTTTGACTACTGTATTGCTCAGACAGTGCTTTTTTATTGAGATGATGCTCAGTAAACTCTGGTAAATAGTCACAGAAATGAGTACACAGCGATGATCATCTTTTATCCACCAACTATAGATGATGAATGTATCCATGTCTCTGTTTTTGGGCAAAGCAACTTTAAATAATTTAACAATTTAATTTAATCTAACACAATGAACATTTCATTATCCAACATTTGGATGTAGGTGGCTTGCACAATATATATTTTTTTAAACTGTTTATTGCAATGCAATGGAAAGTCTATTTTACTTGCCAAAGCAGCACATAAATAAGTAAAATAAACACAACCACATGATTCAAGTGGTGTGTCTTGTAAAAATGTATCTAGGCCTTGGTTCACAAAATTTAGCTGATTCAACATTTTTGTTGGCACTCTCTTCACAATACAATTGATGCAGCTTCTTTAAATTCATAGCCTTTGAACTTTTTCTCCATCAATTCTAATACAACCTTTTCTTCCAGGAGACATTATTAATATGTCTTCTCTTTCATAAAATGCTTTTATTTTTTCTGATGATGCAAACTTGCGTGGTTTCTTTAGTAGTGCATTAGCCATATTTAGCATCTAACTGCTCTACAATAGTGCATCTTTTATTTAAAGACTTTAGAAGAGCCTGTTTTGTCCTGAAAGTTTTATTTAATATAAAAAAACCCAAAATATATGCAAAAGCAATAACATAAAAAATATAGTTTAATATAATTAAATACTTGTTTAATGCTTTTGTCATTGACGATTTGCAGTTATAAGAATTATTAGGCGTAACAATCAAACTGATGTTAGCAGTGAATTTAAGTTTTCTTTTTATTCTTAACCTTTGGCTGCAAACTTTTACTTGATTTTTTTGCTTGTTTTTTTTCCTTGGTGTTAGTAGACCAGATGAATAAAAATGAGCAATTGCTTTTACTCAGTAATTGGTCAGCTTTACGTGAATAAAAACCTCAATAATTTTGCTTAAGTTTTTATTCACGTATACTTGAGCAACTACTTAGTAAGTTGCTTAACTTTATGTGAATAAAAATTTGAGCAAAACTGCTAAAGTTTTTATTTACCTAAAGCTGATCAATTACTAAGTAAAAGCAATTGCTAACTTTTATTCACCCAGCCTAATAAGTGTCTTCTTTGATAAATTCTCTTTCTTTCTTTTTTCAATAACGCTTTTCTGTTTCTTGCTCTATAAGCTTTTGAGCTTTCAGCATCTGATTTGAGCATTTTAAAAATGTTACTAAATATAACAGTTTCTGTTTGAGAGTTGCATTCTGTTATGAGTGAAAAAAAAAAACCTGCTAATTTTATAAATTAAAAACCGATAAATCAAACCAACAATAAAAAAACAAACTATAAAAAAATGTTTTAACTGAAAAAAATTTTCTTCATGTTAAAAGTTTTTATTTCTTAACAAATATTAATTTCTTTACATCAATTGAAATAAGTAATTTATATTTTAAAAAAGAAATAAGAAATAACTTAACAAGTCTAGCAATATAATGAGTAAACAAATTGAAATCGAAATGAAATTGGTTTCAATAATAAAACTGTTCGTGCTTAAACTTTTTATTGAAAAGCCTAGAAGCAGTTATGGAAAAACAAACAGCATGATGATCGTAACGTACATTAGTACATCTTAATACTACCATCTGAAGCTTTTTTTTTTTTTAATTAATTAAAATGATAATAAAACTTATATCAGTATCTTTAATTTTTCATATATTTTTAGTTTTATAAAGTCTGATACGAAGTCTAGAAAAAACGTCTCAACTTACTTTCATGACAGTTATAACGCATTAATTTGATAAATATATTCTTTTTCTATACATAGTTGGAGTGCATTTTTATAAATAATATTATACGTAATGTTTAATATTGTCTTTAAGCCAAGCTTAAAAGTAAGAAATATATTTCTTGTTTTGAGAAAGAAATTTCTCAAACTAATAAATTAATAAAAATTAATAATAGTTTTACAATTTTGCTGTGAGTTCTGATGAGTTGTTTGCAACTTTGAAAGATTTTAAATGTTTTGGAATTCATTGTACACAAAAAGTCTGAGGGAGTCTCATCCGTAGGCATTTTTTCAAACAATGACTTAGAATATCAAAAATTAACCAGTAATTTGGTGAAATATACAACTCAAGACCTAGTGGCTGGTTTTTTCAACAAAAACTGCTTTCAGAAAGATTTCAGCTTTGATTCTCTCCATTTTTACATCTTTTCAGATCTCCCTTTGTTTTTAAATACAGAACTTTTTATCATTTTTATATTGTGATTTCAGTGAAAAGATTCTAATGCCAGCACCAAACACCTCTATAGTTTTACCATGATTTGTATTTTACCTCTGCAGCAGGTTAATTATACGTCTGACAATAGTCTTGTTGATCTTAAAAGTGTAAATTAAAAATAATGCAATGTAGATAAAATAAGGTTTAAACTGACATTTTTAAATACTTATTACACTTATTTTTGACAAGATAAAATCAAAAGTTTGTCACTCACAAATGTCACTCAATATGAGTGACATTTGTGAGTGACAAAGTGACATTTATTTTTTATAAGATCAAAGTACTATTTTATTGATTTAATTTTTATTATATTTCTACTGATTTTAGGAAAAGTCTGTTATTAGAAAAAAAATTGGTTTAAAGTTGTTTTCTTTGTATTTTATATCTGATTTTAAACAATTTTGCAAACCATTGTTTTTAAACAATTATTTACTTTATGACAAATTATTCTTAAATAATAAGAATAAAATATCAAAACTTATGAAATTAAGTTTTACTTTAAGAGTTGCAGAATCAGAAAAGTCAAAAATCGCGATTCTCTGGAGAGAGAAATTTAGTCAGCCATTCTATTGATCTCTTTGAATATTTTATTAATCAGAATAAAAACCTGCCTGATTTTAGAGAAATGCAACTTGAATTTCATGAAGTTCAAGGCGTGTGAAACAGCTCCATATTTGTTAACTTTCACCTAGTGGTCTGACTTTTTTCCACAAGTTCACAATAACCTCTGCACTTATCAAAAGTGCAAATGTAAATAATTTTAAAATTAGACACTTATTCATTTTGTTTTTTCAAAAAGATATTTTAAAGTGAAGCACTTTTATCTTTACCTTTCTTTTTTTTAACTTTTTATGGTTTTATTATATAAATAGTTTATTCTTCAGTCTAACAGTTTTATTTACAGCTATGGCTATATGGCTATATGGCTCCCTGACATGATGGCAGGATGTTAACAAAAATAATGGCCAGCCAGGAAACTTAGCTAATCTTGTACAAACTCCTTTTAAATAGCCAGGGCTTGAAGTGGGTGAACTGTATAAGATCAAAAGAATTTAACAAATTTCTAATTGCTGTGTATTGGGCCTCAATGCTATTGAGTTTAAAAACCACGATTTTTTATTTTCATAACGAGTTTGTGCGCTTTTAAAATACCGCCAGATAATAAAAATAATAGTAATAAAAATAAGCACAATCGGTATAGATAAAAAACCTTCCATTACTTGTAACGATGTTATTATATAGTTAATGATTTGTAAATTTCTATTTGCACCAATTGTTTGAAAATGCCCATAAAAGCTCAAAAATGTCAAAATGTCAAACTTTTACGCAAGTATAAACAATTATCTAACATAAAAAATTAAAAAATTTCATTAAGAAAACAATACCATTATTTATACGCAAGTATAAATAATTATCTAACATAAAAAATTAAAAAATTTCATTAAGAAAACAATACCATGGGAATATTTTACGACACTGTGTATTAAAATTTGTTCATGAGGGACAAAATGGGATGGGCTAATATATATATACAGTTAGAGAAATAAGTATCCGAACAAAACACTTTATTATGAAAAATAAACTTTGTCAGGTTATTTCAGAAAAAAATAACTTTATAAAAACAAAAAAAATGATTATTCTGAAAAAAAATTTAATTATGAATTCAATTAATAATAAATTAAGATACATTTAAACTATGCAATTTTTAGCATTAAATAAGCATCCAAACAAAATTTTAAAGATTAAGGTTTAAATAATTATCGCTTCTCCGAATAATTGTTTTTATGACTTTTTAATATTGAGTTGGACCCGTTTTATGACTTTTGCAAGTCAATATGGCATTCAACTAATTTCTTTGTCGTATCTGACTTGATATCAGCCCAAGCTTCTTGGAGCATGATCTTTAGCTATTCCTTTCTTTTTAGACATCGTGTGTCACATTTTTTATCCAAAATAGCCCAGAGATGTTCAACTGGATTGAGATCTGGACTTTATGCATGCCATTCAAGTAACTTGCTTTTGGATAAAAAACTCTTTCGCTTTCTTTGACGTATGTTTAGGGCCATTGTCTTGTTGGAAGATGTTTTCCTAATTGCAGTTTTTTAGTTGAAGCCAGAAGATTTTTATTGAGAATGTTAGCATAAACCTCAGAGTCCATAATTCCATCAATAAACTCCAGTTTTCCTGCTCTGTTCCAAGCCATTGATTACCATATCATAACATTGCCTCCACTAATTTTACTGTGCCTCAAACACAACTGAATGTGAATGCTTCACCTTTTTTTCTCAATACTTTTTGAGCTCCATCGGACTTCAAAAGATTAAACTTTGACTTATCCGTCCACAAAATTTCCTCCAGAATGATACCGGCATATTTACATTTTATATTTTTTAGCAAATACAAGTCTTTGTTTTTAATGGATTTTTGAAAGGAATGGTTTCTTGTGTGGAACTCTTGCTTTAAACCCACATTCTTTCAATTGATTTCAAATAGCACACGAGCTCACTTAATTCAAAATCTTTCTCAAGGAGGCTTAATACTTTTGGTGCTAATAAAAAGCAGTTTTTTGCACCATCTTGACAATTTGTCAATCTATTCTTGATGTTGTTTTATGCTTAACTCCGAATCTCGACCTATTTTGCACATATCCAAACATATTGTACTTTTTAATCAGATTGCTTATGGTTTCTTATGCCATTCCAGTCCCTTTATTTATTGACCTAAATGTTTTACCTTGCTTGAATAAGCCAATAACCAAATTGGGCTGAGCTTGAAACCATTCTTTGATTCTAACTCCCGTACTTGATGATATCAATGGTAAATCAAATAAATTAAAAAAAATATTAGCCAATTATTAATAATTGCTTGTTGTACAACTAGAATATTTCTAAAACAAAACAACATGCTTGGATAATTATTTTTCATTGAAGTTTTAACACTCCTTCGAGAATCATTAAATTTTAGCAACACAAGTTAATTACTGTTGATTAATTTTTTGCTATATAAAATTGTGATTAAATTTGCTTTTAGAATAACTATGAAAATATTTATCAAAAATATATGCTTTTCTGAAATAACCTGACAAAGTTTATTTTTCACAATAAAATGTTTTGTTCTGATACTTATTTCTCTGACTATATATATATGTATATATATATATATATATATATATATATATATATATATATATATATATATATATATATTATATATATATATATATATATATATATATATATGTATATATATATATATATATATATATATATATATATATATATATATATATATATATATATATATATATATATATATATATATATATATATATATATATATATATATATATATATAGATATATATATATATATATATATATATATATATATATATATAATATATATATATATATATATATATTATATATATATATATATATATATATATATATATATATATATATATATATATATATATATGTATATATAGTCATGGCCATAAATATGAGAACGATGAGAAATTTTTGATAAATTACAGTTGTTAGATAAAAGTTGTTAGATAATAATTACAGTTGTTTTCAAACCTTATAATGTACTTTCAAACCTTATAATGCAGGGTCATGTTTTCTGATGAATCAACAATTTCCCAGTTTGCCTCTTACACTAGGCATGTTAGAAGACCAGTCAATCAGCGCTACAATATTAGATATGTAGTCCCTACTGTAAAACAGGCTTCAACTACGATGGTTTGGGGCTGCTTTAGGGGAGTAGACCGGGGCGGCATCTGATTTATCCTGAAGAACACCACAATTAATGGAGCAGTGTATCTCAATATCCTTAAAGAAAAGCTACCTCAGCATATAACTAGTAGCAACTGCACCATTTTCCAGCATGATGGAGCACCCTGCCACCGTACTGGAGCAGTTATATACACACATATATATATATACATATATATATATATACACACACACACACACATATATATATATATATATATAAATATATATATATATATATATATATATAAATATATATATATATATATATATATATATATATATATATATATATATATATATATATATATATATATATATATATACATATATATATATATATATATATATATATATATATATGATTGAACAACGCATTTTGATTGTTGGTAATTATTTTAAGTTTAATGAAAATTATGCAGAAGTTAGAAGAAAATTTCATTTAATATATGGAAGAATTTGTCCAACAAACCATTTATGTCCACCATTTGAAATATTGTGAAAAATTTAAGGAAACTGTTTTTTTTTTTTTTTTTAATTATTCACCTCCCCAAGGCCACTACAGTCAAGGAGGCTATTCATTTTTTTTTTTTTTTTGTTGTAAATCATGGTACAAGCCTCTCTCAACTCTTTAACTCTGAAACACGGAGAAATATAATTGAGCACTATTTTTCTGCGCGGAGAAATATAGTTGAGCGCGGTACTTCCAGGGACGTGGTGGGAGTCGAACTCTAAACCTCTCGCTTACAAAGCGAGCACTCTTACCACTACACCACTACCGCATTGTTCAATCAAGATTAAACATTGCTGCTGTCAGTGAAAGTGTAAGGGAAGAACCATCAATTTGTCATCGTTCACTGTAATTAGGCATAAAACAAACCACTTTATTCAATACTTTGCATAAGGATCTTCACCCTAAAACTTACAAAATACACAGTATATATTGCCAACTGATCATGGATTATGTAGTGCATTTGTTAATTAAGCACTTGCAGCAAAATAAGAAAAGGATGATTTTTTTTTAACAAAGTGATCCTTAGTGATGAAACAAACAAAAATGTTGAATCTGGTGTAAAGAAAATCGACAAGTAATATTGGAAAATAATTGCATCCTAAAAAAGTAACTGTTTGGTGTTGTTTTTGGTCTGGTGGATTGATTGGTCCATATTTCTTTGAAAACAAAACTAAACACCATGTTACAGTGAATGGTGCTTGTTATTGAACAATTATTATTAACTTTTTGTTTGCCAAATTGGAGTATATTGATCTGCAGAGTATGTGGAAAAACATGTCATACAGCAACAAAAACAACCAATTTTTTGAAAGAGAAATTTGGTGATAATTTCTTGTGAAAGAACTGTTAACTGGCCACCAAGAGCATGTGATCTAACACCATTAGATTTCTTTTTATGGGGTTTTTTGAAAAGCAAAGTATATGCTAATAATCCTCAAACCATTCAAAAAAAAGAAAACATAATAGAGCAAACTACTGAAATCGAAATACAATTATGTCATCATGTACTGGAAAATTTTACTAAAAGATTGAAGGCTTGTAGAGATGCAAGAGGTGATCACTTATCTGACATTCTTTTCCATTATTAACTGATATAAATTGATGAAGTGTTTAATAAAAAATTTTTGCTAAGTGATTTTCTACTATTTTATAATTGCTCTATTCTTTTAAGAACATTGAACACTCTATTTTGTAGAATAGATTTTAAAATTGTTTAAATATACATTTATATATATATCTATATATATATCTATATATATATATATATATATATATATATATATATATATATATATATATATATATATATATATATATATATATATATATATATATATATATATATATATATATATATATATATATCTATATATATATATATATATATATATATATATATATATATATATATATATAAATATATATATATATATATATATATATATATATATATATATATATATATATATATATATATATATATATATATATATATATATATCTATATATATATATATATATATATATATATATATATATATATATATATATATATATATATATATATATATATATATATATATATATATATATATATATAGATATATAGATATATATATATATATATATATATATATATATATATATATATCTATATATATCTCTATATATATATATATATATATATATATATATATGTATATGTATATGATAAAGTTATTTTATTCATAAATTTAAAACAACATGAGAACTTACTTTGTATATTCTGACAATGTGATAGCATATCAACATCAAATGTAGAAAATACTGCAGAATGATCACTTGTGAAAATTTCATCTGTGCAACCTAGCAAAAAACAATACAATATATAAATTTACTCAAAAATTAATGGTTGTTTATTTTAAAAAAATACATTTTTCCTTCATTTTTAACTTTATTTTTAAAAACACATTTAGATATATACCATAGGTAGTATTTTGTATGTCAAGTTCCGGATATGATTTCCATAAAACCCTGTCACACCATGATGGTACATTTGTTCTGTTCTGAAGCAAATAATATTTTTAAAAATGTTTACACACAGTTTCTATGAAATTGAAGTGCTTATATTCAAAATATAAATATATATAAATACATGTATGTATGTTTATTTTACTATATATATGCTCTGTGTTTTTAATGAATATTTAATATTAATTGAGGAAACTAATTAAGCTTTATATTTTTTTGAAAAAAAAAAAAATTTTTTTATACAATATCTTTTTATATTTATATTTTTTTACTGTTTTCATAAATTAGTTTTATATGATTGCTAATTTATTTTTGTTTTATCAACTGATTTATTTAGGGATTAGCACAGCAAAGTGAACATCAACATAGGTAGGTTATGCACGGTTTCCCTGTTTTCTTACTGCTTATTAAAAAAAAACCATCTTATTTATCTTAAATAGCAATAGACAAAGGTGGTACAATAACATTTTCCTTGCTGATGACAGCAGATTTTCTGTGAAAGTTTTTTTTTTTTTTTTTTTAAACATTGCTTCCAACAAGGCTGCAAGCAACTACTAATTAGAGATGGAAGTTACTGGAAGAGAAAAGATAAAAATTGCAGAGCAATATAATGATTAAAAGACGACTTAAAAGATTGCAAATTATATGAATCAGGAAAGCAAGATGAAGGAAGTGAATTCCAAAGAACTGATGTTTGAGGAAAAAAACTAGATGAATAGAAGTTTTTAGAGCACTTAGGAACAGTAACAGAAAAACGATGAGACTTAATTTAATGACAAGTAACACAAGAGTAAATTTTAGTAGATGGCACAAGAGATGCTAGCTCTTTAGAGCAGTGCCCAATATACTATTTGTAGAAAAGAAAAAGAGAAGCAACATTACAACGATGTGATAATGGTTGAAGGTTGGCTGCAAGAGCAGGTCCAACTATGTTTACAATGCATTTTTTGCACCTTGTCTAAAAAAGAAAGGGCATCATTAGAAGATCCCCCCCCAGATATGGCAAAGGTTTCTGTGGATTATAATTTTCAAGTATGATTTCTATAGTTCAGCTCACTGTCAGGTGACGAGTAAGTAAAATTAATTAGTGCAGATACTTTCGCAGCAGGCAATGTTTGTATATAAAGTTATAAAATTTATTCATTTAACAATCCTGAAAAATGCTTACTCCTGTTCGCTTTACTTTAGTCCAACTATATACCATCCGATTTCCTCTCTCATATCTGTAAGTTGGTGAAAAAGTCAGCTCCTCTTCTGCTAAAATTTACAAAAAATAATAACTTGCTAAAACTATACTAATTATATATATACAATAATATATTAATAATATATATACTTATCATAATAACATAAAATATAATTTAACTAAAAGCAATTAAAATTCTTTATAAAAATGAAAAATAGTTAATTGAAAAAAACTAATTGTAAAATAATTATAAAAATAGTAAAATAAAACTTATGGAGAAGTAAAATTCAAATATCTATGGAGTGATAATGAGGTATGGTAGTGATAATGAGGTAGGCTCTATGGAGTGAGTCTCACTTGTTTAAAAGTTAAACAACACTAATTAGGATGTTCATAAAACTTGATTTTTTGTAAAAGAAAGAAAAAAATATTGCAATAAATACATACAACAATGCACAAAGGCATTTCCTTTCTTAATTTCTGTTAGAAGTTGGTCGGCACTCACAAGTTTATTCCAATTTTTTGTGGTTATGCTTTTGATTATAGTCTAAAAATGAAAAATAAACAGAAAGTATTCAACCTATCAATTTGTTTTGTTTAAAAAAAAAAAATTTATACAAAAAGACATTTTTTTAATAAAAAGACATTAATAAAACTATATTTTTTTAATCTTACAACTTTTTTTCATGAGAAAAGAATAAGATTTAGGTAGACAAAGATATAATAGCCAATTAAGCAGTAAAGAGTATTAGCAAAAAAGTTGAAAAAACCTTACAACAATGTTTACAGAGACTTGTGACAAACTTTAAAAGAAAAAAAAGGATCATCAGAACACCTTTTTACATAAATTTTTAGCAATAATAAAAAAAAGATTATCAGGAGAGCTGTTAAAAAAAAGAAACAAATGTTGAAAACAACAGCTGCATAAGAAGAAATTTATAACATCTGCATAAAATGTTCTGAGACTGAGAGGTAGTGAGAAATCTGCAAACAAAAAAATATTACAAAAAAAACAAGCTTAGCAACACATAAACTCAAATTCTTATTCAAGGTATTCAAAGTTTAAATTCTTTGTTTTTTCTTTTTTTATTAATTTAAAACTATTTTGTAAAAAGCAAAGGCAATTTGTTGTAGCTCTTTGTTTAAAAAAGAAATTTTGTAATGCTCCAATAATAATTTGTAATTTTTAAAAATAATATTTAAAAATCTTAACTACAACTTGTTGCAAAATTTGAAAAACACATGAATAAAAAAAAAAGAAAAATTAATAAAAAACTTAAACTTATACAAATTCTTCAATTTTTGAATATTTACTTGAACCTAAATAAGTTTCTCAATGATTAAGCAAACTTTTTTTTAAAAAATAAGTCAAGAGTAAAGTTGTTTTTATCTTTTAACATATATCAATACTTCAATATTTGTCATAAATTTTTATAATGTTTTGTATAAAGTTATGTTGTGTATGTAGCTTTTTTTTTGCATATGACTTTGTCTTGTTTAACACTTTTACAATTTATAAAGAGATGTTTAAGGCATTGCTAAGCAACTAATAAACTTACAGCAACATCAAGATCGATTCTGTAATTTAAATCACCAAACCAAAACAAGTAATGAAATGATAAAGACAAATCAAAACAATCTTTCTGACCAAGATTCAGACCCCTCAAGATGCTGTGATAGTTTTGATTTCTTCTAAAAAAACAAAATACGAAAAATACACAAAAAAATTAAAATTTAGAAATTGCGTGTAAATGTTAAACCGAATTCGAAAACTTGCCAATTTCATGAAATCAACAAATATAAAATTTTGCAGATTTTGTGATACTGGTAAAATTTTGCGTATTTCATGAATTTGACACTGTTGCCGAATTCTCGAAATACGCAGAACATTAGCAAAGTCATGTGAACCCAGAAGATTAATTTGTGGTCTGTGAAGCTATCAAGTTCAATCAGAAACTGAACAGCAGTCTTGTTTGACAAAAAATATAATCTGGTCAACAAGGTTGTTATTCAGATTTTAGGGTTAAAAGAAAGTTGCACAAAAAAAAATTAATTTGCATTAAACTTAAAAAAAGAGTTGCATTGCAGCTATTTCTCAGTTTTTCACCGAGAGATTTATAAATTAAAAAGTGTCTCATTATCAAGTCTTCCTGAAAAGTGTGTGCGGCCGCACACCTTGTTTGTCAAGGTTTAAAGTAATTATTTTAGACAAACTGACCACGGCAGTTCATATCTTTTGACTTATAAAGCGTTTTAATAATTCACGACAATAAGCTAAACTTATCTACTAAGAAAAAAAAACAATCCTAAAAAAAAGGAAACAAGATTGTAATGAAATATTAAGTTTAATTTAATAAACTAGAAAATTTAATAATTAAAAAAAGTAAATAACAATTTTTTTTTTTTAATAAAACTTTTATACAACTTTTGTCTTCTATTTTTAGAATCGTTGTTAAAAAAAACATTATCTTTAATAATGATTTAACAAGAAATGAAAGTTTTTATATGCAATCTATTCACAAACTAATTAACTACATAACTATGTACGCTAGAACTATGAGAAATTTTGTTAACTTTTTTCTTGTGTTTATTTGTTTTTGCTTTTAAAAATGTTTTTGATATATTTGAAATTTTTTCTCAATACTTATATAAATATATTATATATATATATATAATATAAATAAATAAATAAGGAAAATAAGAAAATAAAATATTATTTATTTATAAAATATATTATTTGATTAATAAATTTTGTAATGACAGAATAAGTTAAATAAAAAAATAACATGGTTTCTTTAATATTTAAATTGTTTCTTTTATATTGCCCAAATTGCAATGTTAATAAGAATTACTAGAGATAATGAACATAATGATTGCGCTGTTTATAAAAATGTATTTTAAAAAAGTTTTAAATAGGCTCCTAAAAAGTTTGTTAAAAAAGTTCAGTAAATTAACAATGCACTAGCCCACAACTTTTTTGGGGCATCATCAATAACAATAGTTCATCAGGACATGAACTAGCAGGTTCAAATAAAAACAAAAGTAAAATATCTAGATATATAATTTTTTGACAACAATTTTCTTTTTTAATACTCAATTTTTTTAGCTTATTTTATTTAGACTTTCTATTTTGTATAGTAATCACAACTCAATACATTTATTCAATATTTTATTCGTAAAAATTTATAATACACATTAAAAAGAAATTTTTTCTGGGTACTAGGAAATATATGAGTTGCATACCAAAATTTTTTCTAAACATAACAGTGTTTGTTGATGCAGTCACTTAGGCGTTAGCATTTTTAAAACCTTAACCACTACCAACTGAATCTAATTATATCATCTCTCACAAAGTCTTTTCTTCTATGAGGATATCATCAACAGTTAACTGATAATATTTGGTGGATTGAATACTATTACATTCCAAAAAAGAATTTTATGAAGAAAAAGAAAAAAACAAAAAGTACCAAAACTGTATTTTCCACCTCTTTCCTTAATTATCACTTCTATTAAATTAGCTGGATCTACACATCCACGATCAAACTGGCTAATGCTAATATGCACATTATCATCTATTTTCAGAGGATCTAACTGTTTATTTGATCTTTCAACCATTTTCTTTGCATGAATACTCAAATTAGGATCAGCCAATTCTCTATTTTTATTTGCTGGGTGGATAAAAACTGCAGTATTTGGCATTGAGTTGTTCTTAAGATCTGTATTATCAGAATAAACTATAATATTGTTACAAATACTACTTATCTCACTTCTAAGACTTTCTTAATCTTGATTAATTGTATTTAATACAGCTAATTTGCTATTACTTTGTGATATATCAATAAGTGCATCTACACTAGTAACAAATACTGGTATGTCATAATCTTGCAATATATTTTTTATGTCATTTCCTCTTGTAAATCAGCATCAAACATGGAGTATTATTCATTCCCCATTGAATAATCCAAAACTTCATTTATTTGTCTTATTGTCTCTCTCATCTATGCATTTTTTTAAAGTTAAATTGCTTCGCTCAACTGAACCTTGACTTTGCGGATATCATGGTCTGCCATTAACTAATAGTAGGTTTTCCCACAACATTACTAAATCTTGAATAACTAAGCTTGTATATTCCCTTCTGTTTAGTAATACTGCAAACGTATTTGCAGTACTACTAATAATTTTAAAAATTTTGAATCGTCTGAATATTGTTGTTTTCACTTGGTCATACATTATAATAATATTTTGCAAATTCAGCAACCACAGTACCAAATATGTGAAATACACAAAACTTTACAGATTTCACAAATTCTGCAATTTATATATATAAACAAAGTATTCTAGAAGTTTTATTTTTTTAAAGCATAACAAGGTCTCTTGTAAAACTTAACAATATTAAAACTAAATTACTCTATGTAAACTAAGAATACCTCAAAACGTGCTCATTTCCGGAAGTCAAATGACAATTGACAAAACAAAATGATGTTTGGCCAACATAAAAAGAAACACCAACAGCTCCTTTATTACCTATATTGAAAATAACAAAAATTATTGAAAAATAAAAAAAAAAAATCTTGTGTAGAGTTTCAATAGGAAGCCATACCATACCTAAAGCATTAGCAATTCCTGTTTTTACTGACGAGTGCTTTACTTTGCTAACAACATTCATCAGTTCAGATTTAACTACAATTACAATGCATATACCCCACAAAGATGCACATTTCACCTTAAAAAGCAAAATTGTGGTGTATAAAAAACATAGAATACAAAATATAAATAATAACAGATGTGTAATATTGCATACACAACATTATTTAAAAAAACAGAATAAAAAAAAGTCTAAAAAAAACATAATGTAGTCTAAAATAAATGGGAAGAAAAACATTTGAAAAAAATTTGTTTTAACTATCTTATTTTATAAATAAAATAAACACAAACAAATGTTAAGTATTATATAAAATGTATTGATGTATTAATCAAATTTAAATTGAAAAATAGAATATAAACAAATGACAAAATGTATGTAGCAATAAAATGAATAAGCAAAAGATGTAATATTGAAGTAAATTAGGGAACAGATAACTTATTAATTATAATCAATTTTAACTTATTGATTCCCAAAATCTCAAAATACTTGCTTTTTAATAGGGTAAATTGGCAAATTTTGGGCAGTTTGCTGAAAATTTGCCATAAATGTTATAGAATATAACCAAACGGCCACCAAAAGTATAATAAGGTCAATTTAGGCAGCCAACTGTTTTATTTACAAAATATTTTTTTGATGATTTGCACAATTTTGTGCAAGTTGACGAAGTAAAATATTTTTGCAAATATTTTGCTAGTGATTAAATGTCTGACTTAGAGGTGGATTATTTGTTGGAACATAATGTGGGGCCGTGGCTATTTAATAGGCCCAGTGATCGAGCCTGTTTATAGGCTCAACCACTGGGCCTAATAATAAATGTTTTTACAGCTTCTAAAAGTTAAAAATACTTTTTAGCTTTTAGGACCTGTTAAAACAAGTTAGGATATTAAAAAGCTTTATAGAGTTATATTGGCTACACCAATAACCTTTCAGGTGATTATTTATTAACATTATATTAACATTACTTTTTATGTATTATTCTGAAATGGCACTGAAAATATATCTTTTGTTAATGCTTAAAAGAAAACTAAAAACTTCAGAGAAGCCGTTTATACATATTTTTTCATTTTCGAAGTATTTTCTTTCGTGTTTTTTCTTTTCTCCTTTTCTTCATTTTATTTCTTTTTCTTTTCTTGAACAGCTTGCTGGTGGTTAAAAGAATTGATTCCACTGACAGCATGTGGCATCTTAACAAGCTTCTTTGGATTTTTTCTGCTTATTATTACATTTTTTGAAATCACTAGGTAGTTTTTAAATGAAGAATACTCCCAATTTTCGTAAAACTTATGAGATAAAGCTGATGGTTCAAGGGATATGTTATTAAAACTAGGTTGTGATATGGTGGTCAAACTTAACCCAGGAAGTACAGTGTCATTATACCCAGAAAAATTTAATTCTCTAGAGATTAGATTATTGGATTCTGTAGTTGTTGAGATAATAACGTTCGTGGACTGCATAGGTTTGACACAAGCTATGTTTGTTTGAGTATTATTATATGTGCCGGAAATATACTTATTGCAGGTTTGTACTTTTGTAACAGTTGTACTTTGTGTTGCAGCTTCATATGGTGTTACGGCATCTGGATAAAAACTGAGCAATGGTTTAGAGGTGGAGATTTTTTAATTTGAATTAATGTGCAACCACTTATACATATTTCACTTTCGACCAGAAGTAGTCGCATCACTCTGAAGGTCATAGCCTTCTTCTAATTGTCTTCAAAACGTTACCAGGACATTCTCTGGTAATAATGATTCTATTTTTTCAAGCACCTCAAGAAAGTAAACATTTCTGTTGAAATTAGAAGATTGTGACAACAGAGACAATAACAGGTGCGTTGTTGTAGAAGAATCAATCAGTTTTGAATAGTCAATTGCCTCTAGATTAAATGGTATAAACCCACATTTCCTGAATCCCGATACACCATTTTCAGGTTTACCTTTTGCTTTTTTCCAAGCAATATCAAACACTGAAAAAAGTTTACCTTGGTTATTGCCATGTTAGGAAACTGATTGTTAAAATCTTTTAATACTTCGTTCGAATAAGTTTTGAGCGGCCATTAGGGGGAAACATCCAAGGGTTGCATCAAATGGCTAGCATAAGCCAGAAAACAATGTAGAATAATTCCATTGTCTCTACAGAACTCACCAACACAGACATTGATATGTGTTGAGTGACCATCCATAAAAAAAATTATTGGAAAAGTAACATTTTCTTTAACCAATGGATAGAAGTCATTAGACAACCACGAAAAGATAATCGCTAGAAATCCATCCGTTAATAGATCGCCCAAGAACATAGTCAGATGGACTTACGTGGTATAAATTGTAACGAGACTGTGCTCCTGGAAATATAACTAGAGGTTTTTGGTAATTTCCATCTCCGGATACATGCCAAGAACTGTTATTTGCGCTTTTGTGTCAGGGGTTATGCAATAAACATTCTTTATACTCTTTGAGGCAATTATTTTCAGCCTTCCCAATGTCCCTGTTAATGGAAACCCTGCTTCATCCAAATAAAACACACTATGAGAGTATTCTGATAATAGGAACTCTGAAGCGTTTATTTGGTGTTCTTTAAACAAATAATTCTCCAGCTCAGTAAACCGTTGACTGACTTGAGCATGAGAAACGTTTCACCACTGGTGGCCCAAATTTTCACGCATTCTTCTTGCAAGATTTGAATGCCTTTTGAAAAACCTACCAAATATAAAATAAAAAAACCAAGTTTATCAAATTAAACACAGATTGAGCAGATACAAAACAATCATAGGCCAATCAAAATCTAAAATTTTGTGTCATTTCTTTATTAGATATTCAAAACACTTAATAGAGTAGCAATTATTTACCTGTAGATCCAAAACTTGCTTGGCAGATTATTCACAAACTTTTTATGAGCTATCATATTCTGAAGACTCAAGAAGAAGTTTATAAAACTTTTGAAAACTCTTTCCATCTATTAACCTTTTCCTTTGTGAAACTTAAACAATTAATTCGCCCATATTTATAAAAATATAGAGGCTGGCTTGTTATGTCGTACGCTTATTATATGTCAAGCACATTTTAAAGTTACTGCGTTGTTTAGGCTTTTATTTTTTTATTTAGGACAGTTTGTTATTTAATGCCTAAAAGATTTTTTACTATGCTTGGTTTCGGCAATTACCATATCCTATTTTTGCTGCTTTAATCAAAAAGTCTTTTATTCTTTCTTCATCCTCTTTTTCTAAAGCAGGTTTGCGACCTTTAAGTAAAAAAAATATGTTAACTTCTTAAAAAATCTTATGCAATTTTATTGCTTATGGAGAATTACCTCTAGCATAGTAAGTAAATAAATATTTTAAACAACACTAAACTATCTTTTGCATGGCGGTACTGTATCTGCCATTTATGAGAGGGTACATTTTATTTTAAACTTGCCTTTCTCCATGAGAAATGATTGTCTTGAGCATCAGCAACAGTGGCTATAACAGCTTCCTCGTTATATTTTTAGTACTTTTGTCTTTTCTTAGAATCCATAGTCACGATAACAAACTTGATTAAAAAATTATAACTTGTATATTGTATAGTGATGATACTATATTTTTAAAAAGTTGAAATTTGAACTCAAATATTGCATAGTTAAAAGAAATCCAGCAATTTGGATAATTTCGCAGCTGTTGCTTTCACTTTTTTGTTTTGTCTTAAAAACCTCATTAGCAACCTTGAGAATGCTTTATAAGATAGTTAAAACCATAAAAGCATTCAAAATTAATTGTTTGGTAAAAATAAAATAATGCACGAAATTTAATACTTTGTATTAAAAGAAAAATTTATGACAGTACGTTATTAATTTTCATTGAGTGTAATTTTTAAAAAATACAATCTTGATAATAAATATACTTTACTTTAACTGTCCAAAAAAAAAGAAATTTATTTTTTTTTTTTAATTATAATTCCTTTTTTTTAAACTATCATCATTAGTTTTCCTGTATATTGAAATTTTGTTCAATTCATATAAGTTTAGGAATTATAGTCGATTATTGCTGTTACTTACGAGACACAAAAAAACACTGCATTAAACCTGTTGTTTTTAGTTAAATATTTCAAGCCAAATACTTAACCTACATAAACTTCCTAAATGCAATTAATTATTAAATTGTAATTAATTATTAGTGTAAATTAAATTTTGGTCATAATGCACGAAATACGATGCTTTTCGATAATTTGTCCAGAAAATTTTTACATCAAAAAAGTATGTTTATTATTTTTTTTTTTTTACTTTTCCAAACATATTTGTTAAACTTGGGTGAACGATTAGTACTTCTTTCAAAGAAATGTTGTGCTTCATTTTTTTGCAGTTAAGTGTAAAAGTTAAGTGTAAAAAGATTTATGGTTTTTCACTTTACGTGAAAAACTGATGTATCATAACTTATAATAGCTTTTTTAATATAAATATTTGGACTACCTACATGGAGTTAGCAGTAACTTAATACAGAAAGGTTGTACTAACTGAAACTTGAAATAACACTTTGATTAAATTAGCATCAGTGTGAATTTTTGATGCAAAAGGCTGTTTGCACAAAGTTTGATGCTGTCCGAAATTCGCCATCTTATCCTACTTTGTATGTCTTGTAATTGCACATTTCACCTAAGCAGCAATATTTAATATTTTTTTTATCTATCTATAAAAAACTAAATATAACATAAAAAAAAAATGACATTGATTAACTGGATAGAATATTAGAAAAGGTATTGAGGAGTAGGAATTAAAATTTTAAAGTTAAAGTTCTAAAATTTTTAAGGTTCTAAAGTTTTTAAGGTTCTAAAATTTTTAAGGTTCTAAAGTTTCCATAGGTTGAAGACTAGTAATAAACAACAACGACAATAAAAAAAACAACAACAATAAAAAAAAAAAAAAAAAAGAAAAGGAAAAAGAGAATTAAAGATCATCAAAAAATTTAATCGATTAATTTTATCTTAAACTTATAAATATATAAATTATTATCTTAATTCAAAAGACATAAGTGAAAATATTTATTAAATCAACTATCTAACACCTAAATATGTGCTGCACTGTATACTGCTGTCATACTTTCAAATTTATTTAACAAGTGCTTATCAGAGTCTTGTTTTCCAACCTGCTGGAAAGCAGCATCTATCATCTACTCTAGAGATCAACTCTAGAGATTGATCTGACTCATCTAACTACCGTCCTATTCCTAGTCTTCTTTCTACCATAAGAGATTGATCTGACTCATCTAACTACCGTCCTATTCCTAGTCTTCTTCCTACCATAAGAGAGTGATCTGACTCATCTAACTACCGTCCTATTCCTAGTCTTCTTCTTACCATAAGAGATTGATCTGACTCATCTAACTATCGTCCTATTCCTAGTCTTCTTCCTACCATAAGAGAGTGATCTGACTCATCTAACTACTGTCCTATTCCTAGTCTTCTTCCTACCATAAGAGAGTGATCTGACTCATCTACCTACTGTCCTATTAGTCTTCTTCCTACCATAAGCAAAGTTTTTGAGTTTTTAGTTAACAAACACTTAATCTCTCATCTTGAATCTAATAACTTATTTTCTGATCATCAATATGGATTTCAATCTTCTCGTTCTACTGTCCGATTTGTTAACGGTAATAACCGATAGGTTTTATTGTGCATTAGATAGATGAGGAGAGATTAAGAGAGATTAATAAAGGGGCATTTGAGCTTGAAAAGGATCTCACTTCTGGTACAGCATGGGGCTCTCAGTGGCTGGTGAACTTTAATTCAGCTAGTCATTAATCTAGTCTATAATATAAAGCTAGTCAATAATCTAAATCTTCCTATATTTATGAACAGTAATGTACTTGATGAGTCATCTACCTTTCATCTTCTAGAATTAAATCTTACTTCCGATCTTTATTGGAAACTATATACCAAATCCATTGCAAAATTAGCATCTGCTAAGATATAATAATTTGAATTTATTATTAATATTTTATTTTATTGCTGCAATTCTGAATGAGCTCAAATATTTTATTTGGCATACTTTTTGAATGTTTTGAGAGATCAGCAAAAGATATGTTCTTCCAAAAATAGACAATTGTCTTTTTTAATTCATTGACATTTAAATATTGTTTTCCTTCTGTATCAACTTGTCTTGTTAATTTGCCCGAAATGTCCTTGACGGGATTTAAATTGGGTAAGAGCGCTGGCTTTTCCAATAAATAAATTTTTAATATCATGCTTTTTCAAAAATAAGTGAACTTTAACTAAAAATAACGAAACCCAAATTACTCTTTCACCTCCAATGGCTCTTCTTTTTGAAAATATTATCTTTTTTCTAATGTCATGTCAGTAATAATTGAAGCCATCTGGATTATCAAGATTGGTTTTTTTTTTATCAGACTACATAATATTCTGCTATTTATTTTTCCAAATCATGTGGTTCTTGACCCATAAAAGACAAATGCGTTTGGGCACTTCAGTTAGTGCAAGAGATGTATTTTTTTTTTTGCATATCTGAAAATGCTTGACTTATTAATTGTGTGATTTGCCATCCATCTTGAGTATTTCAATTCCAAATCTCTACTAATTTGTCTCGCAGAGACTACAGGGTTACTAGCAGCATGCACAATTGGAGAGTTTGTCGTAGTTGAAGAGTTGTAAAGATCAGTCTTCTTCCACTTGGATGCTTTGTGCAATAATTTGTTTGATCATTTACAAAATTATTGATCAAACATGGTGGGCATCTCAGCCTACAAGCGATTGTCCTGTTTGATAGACTCAATATCCTGTAGTCCTTAATCTTGCCTTTTTCTTCATAGGAGATTCCTCTTTTCATTTGTTAAAATGTTTTTAAATAAATAAATTTAAAAATGAAATTCACTACTTTTTATTTTAAAGCTTTTGATGTAATTTAGATAACAAGGTTATAATTACACACCAGTTTTAAATGATTTTATAATTTGAATTGATTAAAGTATAATTACAATCTATCTAAGTATTATGCTTTTTTCAAAAAGCGATCAACAAATAGATTTTATATATATATATATATATATATATATATATATATATATATATATATATATATATATATATATATATATATATATATATGTATTTATATATACAAACTTCAAAATTAGGGTCGGAATTCAGCAATACTGATTTAAAAGTGTTTGAGGTTGGCAAATTATTGCCAACCTCATTTTTCCTAATTGCGAGGGTTGTATGTGTGTGTGTGTGTGTATATATATATATATATATATATATATATATACTATATATATATATATATATATATATATATATATATATATATATATATATATATATATATATATATATATATATATATATATATATATATATATATATATATATATAAAGATAAACAAAAAATATATATTAATAGATAACATATATAAAGATAAACAAAATACTTCAATTGAAAGTAATTATACTTCAATTTACATGAAAATCAACGTTTTTTCGCATATAGGACAGACAAAAATTAAAATGATACATAAAACAAACAAAATATAAAAAAAAATTAAAACTTAATAAATTAAGAAATTAATAAAAAAGAAAATTAAATGAAAAATATTAAACTTATCTAAAAAAAAAAGAAGAATTAAACGCTAATAAAAAAGGTGTTTACAATAAAGTTCTTACCAACTTAAACTCTCTGTTATATAAATTATTAAGATCAGTTATTACTCTTTTAACCCATTCTTTTTGATGATACACACTTTCCTGAAGTAAATAGAAAATCATTTTTGTTAAAAAAAAACTTGAAATGAATAGGAAACCAGTTTTGTTGAGAAAAAATTGAAAAAAAATTAAACAACAAAAACAAATAAATGACTTTTTATTCCTAAATATAAAAGTTAATGAATATAAAATGCAGTATATAAAAAAACATTTTTTCTGAATTATTTAGTAGTTCTTAATTAACTCATCTGAATAATCATAATAAATATAATAATCATTAAAAAAATTTAAGTCGTTAAAAACGTAATAAAACTATTACTATGCTCATTATTTAAAAGATTTATACAAATATTTCAATATTTGAAACAGAAACTATGTATTTATTATTATTATGTTTTATATTTCAATATTTGTATATCTTTTAAATAATGAGAATAACAATAAGCTAAGACAGTATATCATTTTGAGCAGCTTATATCAACAATAACATCAACAACAAAAAAAGACATTGTCTTTATAGTGTTTTAACTTTTGTTCTTTATACTATCAACAACTATCAGCAGCTTACTAGCACTTACATGTTTATAAAAATATCAAGTCATTTTTAAAATATTATTAATGAATATCAAAACCTGTGTTCCAATAGCATAAATATCAGAAGCCAAAGGTGGCAGTTCAGAGCTTCGTGCTTTCCCACTACCAAAACAGTTAAACCAATCAGTTATACTTGGTGGAACAACAGCATTTCCTAACAACAATAAAAAGAAATTTTTCTTCTTTTAATTTGCAACAAATTATGTATAAACAATCACCTGCAAAAATTTATTCAAAATGTTTCATACATTTAGAGAACAATAAATTTTACGTTACACATTTATATTAATTTAAAAAAAAAATATTTAAAAACTAAATATAAGTAAGTATTAACATAAATATATATAAGATAATATAAATACTAAATTAAAAATAAAAAGTATGAATAAATGAAATAAAAAATGATAAAGTAATGAATATATATATATATATATATATATATATATATATATATATATATATATATATATATATATATATATATATATATATATATATATATATATATATAAGAATAAAATGCTAGCACAGGTAAAACAAAAAGCAATTATACAATTCTGCAATTGCAGCAATATTTGAAAAATCATGAAACTATCATGCAAGAAAGTCATTACTTTTTAATGATGATCAAGGTTAAAAATCAGGCATATTATTTGATGTTTTAATGGGAGCATTTGATGGTGCAAAAGTATGCAAAAATGTAAGAATTTACCATTTTAAACTGCACAGTTTTATGATAAAAATTATTTCGGATTATACATGTGATGACAAATAAGTCATTTTGAATGTCATTCAAAAGTTTTTTTTGGTATATTTAAAAGAAATGGTCTCACTATTTCAATACAGTGAAACATAAATATTATAAATTACCTAGACATCAACATAAATATTATAAATTACCTCACATCACATCAAACATCACATTAAATCTCAAAGACCATACTTTTTCAATCATATTTCAAGCCCACAAATTTTTAAAACTATATTCATGCTGATCCAAACCACTCGTCCAATATTTTAAACAGCTTCCACATTCAATTGAGTTAAGAGTCTGCAAATTGATCAATTGAGTTAAGAGTCTGCAAATTGATCAAGTAAAGAAATTTTTTAAAGATATACTTCAATGTACAAAGCTGCACTGTTAAAACTTGGCTTTTATTACAACTTTTTATATCAAAAAAATTTCTATACAGCTCTTATTCATTCGAAGTTTAATTACGCGAAACCTTTCTTTCTCTTTTGTTCTACTCTTTTATAAAAAGAAGGAGTGATGAAATAACTTTTCTTTTTTAACATAAATTTATACTTAAAGATAAAATTAAATTAGAAATAAATCAACAATGAACAAAGCAACTAACAGATTAATCTGGGACTATTTTGATATTAATGAAAAAAATCAACATAAACAACATTACCAACAACAATTATCAAATAAACAACACAATATCACATAATTTTAGGAGCTTTTTATTTTTATTGCTTAGTCGTTCTAAATAATAAGTAAATTTAGTTCAAATTAATATTTCAATATTTACAGTTGTAATATAATAAAGAAATGATGTTTAATGTTGAACTTTTTATTTAATTATTTATTTTTTACCTATATTTGTTATAAAAAACTTTTAAACCCCAGTCATTAAAATAATTTGTTTTAAATATATTTCGAAGTGATTATTCAAATTAATTTTTTTTGCTTGACTTTCCGAACTTCATGCAAAGTAAATTGAGACAAAATATTATCTAACCAAATAAAAATGGTTTTACTAATTTTATAAGGGTAATTAATGTAAAACAATTTTTTATCAGAGTCTTGATTAAGATAATAAATATTCATAATTTATAAACATTAAATATATGGTGCAATAACAATTTATAGCAATGAACCAGCATAAAATATTTGAGGTTTTTAATATCTTTTTAAATGTTAAAAATAGAAGAAAAATCTTAACAAGTAATCAAAAAAAGTTCAAATAAAAATAAATAAAAATATTTCCAGAGTTTCATTTGTTAAAAGTCTACCTTGACGTCAAATACTAAAACTTTTATGAATTAAACACGGTTCAAATGAATCGCCAAAGTCTGTAGATTGCAAAGTATAATTTAAAGACTCCGAGTTATTTAAAAAAAATGGAGAAAGCGAGCTTCGGCTAAAACAATAACGCTAGTTTTTCTCGGCATGCATTCATTATTTATTTTTAATCAAAAAAACTTGGTTCAAACCTTTTTTTAACAATATCTTTAATATGAACACAACATGTGTCGGGAGTTTGGGATCCCTTTAAAGGGATTAAAATGTACTTACTGCAGGGTTTTTTAATTTTTTAATTTTTTTTACCTATAACATTTTAGTGTAACTGGAGACTTGACAAAATAAAATTGCAATTAAAGAAAGATTACCACATTTCTACTTTGCTTTTTTTTTGTTTCTATTAAAATATTTCTTTTTCATTTACAGTAAAACCTAATGTATTTTCACTATTTCCAAAGAAAAAAAATATTATTCTCGGTTTTAAGATGTTATTAGTAGAACTTGATTTTAAGAAACATAAGTTTTGAAATTTACTTATCTTATTTTTATAGCACTAATTTAGGTTTGTTTTTAAAATAAAATAAATATAAGTTGGGCTTTTAAACCATTTACTTATTGATCGTGTTTTTTATTATAAAGGTATATAAAGACATTCTTCTATATAAGAATTAACTGTTAAGGGAAAACCCAAACATAAAATTGATAACTCAATTTCAATTATTTGAAATAACTTTTTTGCATTGATGTCATTTATTAACTACAAAAGCGCATTAATCAGACCAGTATTTAAAAAAAATCTATAAGCCAGAACTTACCATTGAGAAAAAAAAAAATGGCTAAAACAATTATAAAGTTTTTTGCAAATATCTCAATAAACAATTTATTCTGAAAAGTTTGATTAACATGAAACTTACTTTTCAAAGATTTTTTATTATATGAACACAACTTATCTCAGCACTTGGGTATCACTTTAACAGTCAAAAAATAAATAAAAAACTATCAACCTTTTTTTTATCATTTTGGCTTTAACAAAATCTTTGCATACTACTCATAAACTAGTTAATCGACGCTTTCTAATCGACGCTTAGTCATGATAAAGAAAAAAAACTTTTGTTAAAAAGCTATTTAAACTGAAATGTACAAATAAAGTTTTATGTGATACGAACATTTAAACTGAAATGTACAAATAAAGTTTTATGTGATACGAACATTTAAACTGAAATGTACAAATAAAGTTTTATGTGATACGAACATTTAAACTGAAATGTACAAATAAAGTTTTATGTGATACGAACATTTAAACTGAAATGTACAAATAAAGTTTTATGTGATACGAACATTTAAACTGAAATGTACAAATAAAGTTTTATGTGATACGAACATTTAAACTGAAATGTACAAATAAAGCTTTATGTGATACGAACATTTAAACTGAAATGTACAAATAAAGTTTTATGTGATACGAACATTTAAACTGAAATGTACAAATAAAGTTTTATGTGATACGAACATTTAAACTGAAATGTACAAATAAAGTTTTATGTGATACGAACATTTAAACTGAAATGTACAAATAAAGTTTTATGTGATACGAACATTTAAACTGAAATGTACAAATAAAGTTTTATGTGATACGAACATTTAAACTGAAATGTACAAATAAAGTTTTATGTGATACGAACATTTAAACTGAAATGTACAAATAAAGTTTTATGTGATACGAACATTTAAACTGAAATGTAAAAATAAAGTTTTATGTGATACGAACATTTAAACTGAAATGTACAAATAAAGTTTTATGTGATACGAACATTTTAAAGTAGCTCGGATTAAATTTATTAAAATTTTTTTTTCACTTTTTCAAACATAAGTTTTAAACAAAAGAATTTGAAATGAATTTAATAAAATAAATTTATATTTATTAATAACTAATAATAAATTTAATTTAAGTTTAATTTATAAAATTAAAAATAAATTTTTTTTTAAAAAAAATGGAAAATAAAAAAAAGTTGATTTTTCTTTTTTTTTTATTTATTTATTAAATAAAATACTCCACAAATGTTTTTTACAACAATTAATTACAGCTTTCTGCATAAACTGCTCTAAAAGACTCTTAAAGTAAATTTATTGAAAAAAAATTTTGCGCAACATAAATTGTTTAACGCGTAGGTGAAATTGCCATTTCGTATGTAAAATCCAAATAGCTTAACATTTCTTAACAAGGCCTGTGATATGCGAAACCCTTTTAAATAAAGTAACAAATTACATCGAAAGATTGTTTAATAAACATGCATATTTAAAAGTTAAAAAAAATATTCTTAACAATTCTTCACAGTAAAGTTTAAAAAGTTTATATAATTCTTTTATTTCAAGACATAAAAAAAATACTTATATAAATATAAAAAAATATGTACAATATTCATTAATAATTATTATTAAGAACTTTTTTGAATGTCGTTTGAATTAAATAAAAGTTATTTAATTCAAACAACATTCAAAAAAGTCTTTTTTTTCTTCCTAACAAAATATTTTTTCTTTTTGAGTGTATTAACTTTAATGATTCTTGTTTAAAGTTTATTTTATAGAGACAATAATTGTTTAAAATTGTCGCTTATAAAATTCATATATATATATATATATATATATATATATATATATATATATATATATATATATATATATATATATATATATATATATATATATATATATTTTAAATTGTATTTATTATGAAAGAATCTTATATAATTAAATATTATAAATAAAAATTTAACAACTTTATTTGATAAACAAACAACTTTATTTAAAAGCACTTTGCTAAAATAAAAAAGTTAGTAAAGATAACCATGTTGAAGTTATCTATTTTAGTTTAGTTTAGTTATTTATATATTTAATTAAAAACCATTTTTTTCAGTGCATTTTTAAAATATTAAAAACCGTGGTCAAATCGTCAAAACAAAATATTATTTGCAGGATCATAAAAAGGCTTATTTTTACAAGCCTTCCTGGCTAAGCCTGCCCTAATTTAAATTTACCTCACACCAAGAACCATAAATGCATCATCATTTGGTTCAACTTTCCTTTTAGTAAAAATGTTAGCATTGAATTAAGAAAAAAATTTTAATTATGATCGATAAACACTTCCAAATGAATCATAAACTCAATAAATTTTTTAACAGAAACACAATAAAAATAAGTTACAGCTGTATATCTAATAATAAATCTATTTTAAATGCACACAACTGTCCTATTATAATACCAACCCTTTATCAAACCAACATCGTGTATCAAGCTAATATAAGTTCCAATAATCCTGCTCACACTTCTTATCAATGAATTCTATAGTGGTATAAGCAACACACCGTTTAAAATCAAGGCTGACAAGTTTAAGACTAAGTAAGAAAAAAACATTTTTTTGGCAAAATTCAATTTTATTATTCAACATAGTTGTCTTCAAGGATGATACACCAATTTTAGCAAACTTCCAACTTTTCGATACCATTTTCATAGAACAATTTACCTTTAGCCTTAAAATAGACTTCTGTTACAACAATCACTTCTTCATCCATCTTAACACCACGCCCACCGAGCATTCTCTTGAGATCTAGAGAATACAGTGGATGGGGAAGCAATTTGTAGACCACTTCTTGCAATTTTGCCATCATTTTCATCAACTTGTAACATGGTGCATTATCTTGGTAAAATAACACTTTTTTCTTCTTTAAATGAAACCATTTTTTGGCAATTTCTTCTTTCAAACGCTCCAACAACATAATGTTGTTTTGTGAATTTTTTTGATGTTTTTGTCAGTAAAAACCTCTTTTGGGCACCCATTGAATTCAGCATCATTTGTGCTCACACAATCACATATATGAAACTAACCAGCGATTAACAAATAATTGTTTTCAACAAAGCAGAGCCTGAATAACATTCGTCAAGCCAAGTTTTTGTTTGTACAGTAATTTTTTCCATCAAAAAATAGTTTTATTAACACATAAAACTTTTTATTTTTTATTTTTTCAATAATAAATAATTTTATTCAACTAAAAAAAAAAAAAAAAAAAAAAAATGCAAATTATAAGCAATCATTTTTTTTTTTTTTTTTTTTTTTTTTTTTTAATTATTCACCTCCCCACGGCCCGAGGGGGCCACTACAGTCGAGGAGGCTACTCGTTTTTTTTCTACTTTTTTTTTTTTTTTTTTTTTTTTTTTTTTTTTGTAAATTGTGGTACTTAAGTTGAGCGCGGTACTTCCAGGGACGTGGTGGGAGTCGAACTCAGAACCTCTCTCTTACAAAGCGAGCGCTCTTACCACTACACCACTACCACATTTAAAAATAAAAAAACTTTCCAATGCAACAAAACTCTCAAAATATATTTAGAAAACTAGGGAAAAACTCAGAGAAACATCTGAATTGACTCGGTCTATTCAAAAAAGAGCTCCTGCTCGCAACAAAAAAAAAATGTTTACTTTGTTTATATAAAAAGCTAATATATTTAAAGTTTATATAAAAAGCTAATAATTTTACTTTATAAAAATGCAAAAGAGTTGATTTGCAAATGTCTTTACACAAATAAATTTCTATTAAGAAACCACAAACCTGAAGATAAGATACAAAAGCAATAATTTTTCAAAATAGTTTTATCTGTACAGTTTTTCATAACTTGCTCCATTTGTATATAATTATTTTAACTAAAAAATTATATTTGTATTTTACCTAATGATTTCAATAGCATGAAACTTAAAGTTGTGAAAATCATGTAGTTTTGTTTTCTACATATATATTATTTTATAGCTTTCTTGATAGCATATCTAATTAAGTATATCTAAGGATCTCTCTTCTGCTACAGCATGTGACTCACAGTGGCTGGTGAACTTTAATTCAGATAAAACTCAGTTTTTTCAGCTGATCGTTATTGCAATAATTTAGATCTTCCTATATTTATAAACGGTAATTTACTCTATGAGTCATCTACCCTTCATCTTACAGGACTAACTCTTCTTCCGATCTTTCTTGGAAATCATATATCAAATCCGTTGCAAAATTAGCATCTCCTAAGGTTGTATCTCTTTATTGAGTTTGATACTTTCTTACTCCAGATTCTATACTCTATCTCTATAAATCTCAAATCTGGTCTTGTATGTAATACTGTTGCCATATCTGGAGCGGATCTTCTAATGATGCCTTTTCTCTTTTAGACAAGTTGCAAAAACACATTGTAAACATTGTTGGAACTGCTCTTGCAGCCAACCTCTAACCATTATCACATTGTTGTAATGTTGCTTCTCTTTCTCTTTTCTACAAATATTATAAGGAACACTGCTTTCTCTTTTCTACAAATATTATAATGAACACAGCATCTCTTGTGTCATCTACTAAAATTCATTCTTGCGTTACTTGTCATTCAATCAAGTCTCATTCTTTTTCTGACTGTTCCTAAGTGTTCCAAAAACTCTTATTCCTCTTTCTTTGGAATTCGCTTCCTTCATCTTCCTTTCCTAATTTATATAATTTACAATCTTTTAATCAATTGTTATCTCGCTCTAAAATCTTTAACTTTTCTCTTTCAGTAATAGTACTACATAATAATTCCAGTCTAATAATACTACAAACAAACTTTTATAAAAGACTTCTTAAGTGAAGACTACAAACATACTTTAATAAAAGACTTTTTATGTTAAACAACTTATGTTAATTTATGTTATGTTAAGATTAAGGTTTAAAACAAAAGTGAAGTTATTGATAAATATAAAATTAAAACCTAATTTTAAAATGCAATGTATATAAATTACCCATATTCCAAGTTCCTACAAAAATAGAGAGCTTTGCAACATTTGAATGTGATTTCTTCATTTGGAGAACTGCTTGACAAAATGTTTCTCGAGCCTAAATTTAAATTAGTTTAAACTATTTAAAAAAACAAATAAAAACATAATTACATAAAACATAATTAGCCTACAAAAAAAGTCTGTACCAAAAAAAGCTTACATCAATACACACAGAAACTTATATATAAAACATTTAAACAATATATAATAATAGTAACTCCTGTGTTGGAACCACCTGATTGTTGGAATCAAAAATTTTAGAATCCAATAGTGGTTGTTATTATAAATGCCTTATTGTTTACTGACAATAAAACATCATTATTAACATTTACCAATATTGTAATCATTAATTAAAATCTTTATTTTTTCAAAGTTAATTTATATGATGTAACAATTCAATGATTTTATTTGCCAACTTCTAAAGTTTAAACTTTTATGACTCATTTCAAAACAATGAAAGCAGTGTAAATAAAATTGAAAATAAATCTATTTTAATTCAACATTATTTTCTGCAACTATAACTTATTGTAGAGTACAGACCAACCTATTTTAAAAGCATGATAAAAAAAAAAATGTGTGCTTTATTATTATTAATTGACTTCATTACGATTAACATATGCATGTAACAATGCGCAATCAACATGTGGGTTGCTACTCTTTAGTTTCAGATTTGAATTTGAATCTTTGTTTTATGATTTTATACAAAGGTTATACTGTATAAAACTTTTAAAACAAATCTCTTTTAAAGCTCTTTGTTAATCTTTAAAGCAAAGAAAGTTCATACTTAAAATTGTTCAGGTTTTTTGAGTCCATCGCATTTTGGGTAGAATTGTTTCATGGTTTGACAACACGGTTAGTTAAGAAGTTGTTTCTTTTTGCACAAGTTTCGTACAAGTTGTGCTTTTAGTTGTTTTGTATGTCCATGCTGTCGGAGACTGTACTTTAAAGACTCGGTGTTTGGTTGACGCTGAGGGACTGAGAAGTTAACTTTGTTGATTTTGTTGATGATTTTGTATTGCTTAATAAGATTTACTCTTTCTTGTTGTTAGTTAGCTTTGTCAAGTTAATTTATGATAGTCTCTAAATATATAAGGCAAGTATTTGAAGAAGGCAGTATGTTTTGTCACTCGCTTTTAAACTTGTTTGAGTTTGGCTATGTTTTGAGCTGAAAATGGTGGCTTGTACTGCAAATTCTATATGCGTGCCAACATATGAAGTATACAAAGTGCGCCATAATGCTAAACTTCAACCTTCAAAAGCCAAGCATTTGGTTTCCAGCTGATGCAGCTGATGCAAAAGGTTAAGAAACAAGTCTTCACTTATGTTTTAATCTTCAGATTGTTAGTCATAACAACTAGGTCTTGTTTAAGTGTTGCGCATGACAGCTAATGCAGTTGATATGCCAAGTTAACCATAGTGTAAATTGAAGTAAATTTTTATGATGCACCCAAGTGCATCATAAAATTCAATTTTTTTATCTTTAGTGTTTGAGACCCCTAATTTTTTGGGGACCCCTGTACTATGGTACACTCAGCATTTGTCTAAACTCGGACCTGTATTTAAAATCTGAATCTATTTTGCTTATAATTATAAAGATTGTCTACTACAAAAATAGTCATAGAACTATTGTTGTAGTAGTACTGTACTACGAAGCGATAAAACTTAACAAGCAGTATTGGACAGTGTTTGAGCATATGGACAACATATTGATATGAATAACAACACGCAAGGTCAAAAATACCTATTACAGACTAACAAAATTGAATCAAAATCAACTTTGTGGCTGTCCCTTAATTATGTTCAACATTTTTTGATAATTTTTATACCCCCTTCTCCCTCCCGCTTGTCAACAATTTGTCAAAATTCCAAAGCCCACTTCCCCCTCTCCTATTAAATTACATAAATATTTGACTACTCTTCCTTCCCTTCCCCAAGCTAACCTCATTAAGAAAATTTAATTAAAGAAAACATTTTTTAAAAATAATTTAATTGGTTTTATAAAGCAACATTGTTGGTGTCAACTTTTCTTGACTTCCCCCCTTCCTTTTTTCAAAATTGGCAAAAACTTAAAGACTTCTTCCGCTCGTTCTGAGCAACTAGTCACAAAGTTTTTAAACTCATTCATAATTTAAAGTAACTTAAAAAAAAGTCTTTTAAAAAATAATTGCTTAAAAGACTTTTAGAAAGACTTATTTTTTTTTAAACATTTTTGCTTCCAACAAGGCTGCAAGCAACCACTAATTAGAGATGGAAGTTACTGGAAGAGAAAAGATGAAGATTGTAAAGCAATATAACGATTGACAGACAACTTGAAAGATTGAAAATTATATGAATCAGGAAAGCAAGATGAAGGAAGCGAATTCCAAAGAAATGATGTTTGAGGAAACAAAACTTGACAAATAAGAGATTTAGGAACACATATTTTAAATGACAAGTAACACAAGAATGAATTTTAGCAGATGGCATAAGAGACACTAGCTCTTTAGAACAGTGTCCATTATAGTATTTATAGAAGAGAGAAAGGGAAGCAACATTATGACAATGTGATAATGGTTGGAGGTTGGATGCAAGAGCAGGTCCAACTATGTTTACAATGCATTTTTGTACCTTGTCTAAAAGAGAAAGGGCATCATTAAAAGATTTGCCCTAGATATGGCAACAGTATTACATACAAGGCCGGATTTGATAATTATGGAAAAAGATGAGAATAGAATTCAGAGTTAGAAAGTGTCGAGCTGGATAAAAAGATGCAACCTTAAGAGATGCTAATTTTGCAAAGGATTTGATACACAGTTTTCAAGGAAGATCGAAAGAGTTAATCCTAGAAGATGAAGGGTAGATGACTCATCGAGTACATTATGGTTTATAAATACAGGAAGATCTAAATTATTGCGATAACAATTGGCTGAAAAAAATTGAGTTTTCTCTGAATTAAAGTTCACCAGCCACTGTAAGCCTCATACTGTCGCAGAAGTGAGATCCTTTTCAAGCTCAAACGCTTTCTCCAAGCATACAGAGAGTGTTAACTTCTTATCATGACAAGAATAAATGGTAGCATTATCAGCGAACAATGTCACCTTAGATGTGAGAATATCTGGAAGATCATTCATGTAAATTAAAAAGAGTATAGGGCCAAGGATTGAACCTTGAGGAACCCCTGAAGTTACCAGGATATGAAGAAGTTACCCAGGATATGAAACAGAGTGCTGTCCAGGATAAGAAACAGAGTGCTGTCCATCAAGGACAACTTTTATGCTATGACTGAAAAGGAAGGATTCAATAATCTTAAAGATGTTACCAGATACACCCTAAGCAGAAAGCTTAATGAGAAGACCAGCATGATAAACTTTATCAAAAACTTTTAAAACGTTAAGAGCGATGGCCTTAACCTCTCCACCATTATCTAATGCATGATAAAACCTATCAGTTGTTACTGTTAGCAAATCAGCTGTAGAACAAGAAGATTGTATGGAGTGATATGAATGTTAAGCAATGGATCAACCTGTTTGACGGTTATATCAGGTAGAGCGCAACTGATGGAATCAATAGATGATATTGATGAAAAGTTATTAGCAAACAATTCAGCTTTGTCTTTAGGTGAAGTGACAAAGTCTGAACCATACAAAAGAGGTGGAATAAGAGATTTGCCTATATTACTAATACTATTAAAGATTCTCCAGAAGTCACAAGAGTCTAATTTTTGTGATGAAATGACCTGAGAATAGCAGGCTTTGGCGTTAGACAAAATATTCTTACAATGGCTTCTAGCAGTAATAAACAGACGTCTGTTTTCTGGAGGATTGTTTTGCTGATATATATTGAATTAACGGCTTCGATTGAAAACCGCAGCAGCACAATGTGAGGAAAACTATGGAGAAGAGTAAGGCTTGACCTGAAACCGTCAAAAAGGAATGAAAGATTCCATGCCAGTCTGAATCCATGAAGTTATGAAAGAAGCACATTTGTCAGTAGGAAGACGTAAGATTTTTACAGAAGGGCCATCACAAATAAAATCACGGAAAAAGTCCCAGTCAGCTTTAAGGTAGTTGTAAGAGGTACAATGATATGGGGAATTCAGATAATGAAGAAGAATGAGATAATAGTTTTAAAGAGATCAAACTGTGATCAGAAGCAAAAAGGGTGAGTGTGGAGAAACTAAGCATTGACTAGGATTAGAAAAAAGACACAAGTCAAGTAGAGAAGGTAAATGAATCGGGTTGTCTGGAAATCAAGTTGGAAAGTTGACAATTTGAGTTAGGGATTGAGTTGCAAAAGTTGTGGGCTTTAACATCTTTAGAGTCACTGACACTAGGGCCAAGCCATTCTGTGTGTTGAGCATTAAAGTCATCAACAACAACAATGGCTGATGGATAAAAAGAAAGGGCTCGATCAATTTGATCAGACATAACATCAAAAAGAGTGCAGTCTTGAGATGAAGGAGAGCAATATAGAACAAAGAGAAAGGTGATAGAGTAAAGTGGTGCTAAACGAAAGCTCATAAAAGAATAATCTGTGGATTCAAACCTAGTTTACCTACAAATGGGTGAATTCTTAGGAATCTAAATGCCCACGCCAAGCATGTGACTATTGGAATCTTAACGAATTAAGGAAAGATAACCATCAACACTAAGATTACAAAATGAGACAGCTGAACTCAAATTATTCTCACAAAGAGCAAGTAGGTATAGTGAACTTTGCATGAGATAAAACTCAACAGAAGTAAAATTACTTTAAAGACTATGAATATTAGTGAATGATAGATTTTGAGAACTTGGTGATGACGATGGTTTTTGGTGTTTTATAGTTTTTGACACTTTATTCATTTTCAAATTTTTTTAAAGAACTTGACTCAAAGCATAGACAGTACTCAGTACACTGTTTAATAGCCCAAGCAATTGCCTCATTACCATTAATAAACCCGAAGCCATAACAAAGGGCTCCAAATGTGACCTTGACAATCTACACCAAAAGTACAAACAGGGAAACCATCTATGTGCAACATAGCACTGTTAATACTTTCATATTTTTCAGCTGTTGATGGAATCAGCCTCTCTGAGA